AGAAATGCTAGGAGGAGAAAGGGCAAAGCAAGCCCTCCCCTTCATGAAGCCCCGCCTCAAAGGCAAGGGGAGGCCAGCTCAGAAACCCCGCGAGGGTGACCCGCTATCTGGTCTGCCCGGGTCTGTCCTGACTTTAGCATTGAACATCCCAAGTTCCTCAGTTCCAGCCGAAGAGTTGGTCACCACCACCACCACCCACACACACACCCCCCCCACCCCCCCATCAGAGCCCCGGGTACCTAACCCCAACTCACCCTCTGGAAGGCTCAGGAGGGGCAGGGCAGTTCAGGCCCCGCCATGGCTGGCCAGTGCCTCTCAGGGTCTCAGTGTTGCAGGGACAGGACGGCTTCCTGGGCTCTGAGCCGCAGGCTTCACCCAGGCTCCCCAGGGGCTGGCAGACGTGGTGCCCGATTTCCCCAGCACTAAGCCCTCTGTGCCCTCCGCCATGGGGATTAGTTCCTGGGGTCCCCCCCCCAGCAGCCAGTGGGGAGGGGGGAACATCTGTCAGGGAGGCTGGCAGCATCACATGACCCACGATGCTCCGGGCTGGCCAGCGAAGAAACAGTCTCCCCAGAAAGTCTTTGTCAAACCCAATATAAAAGAGATAATGGCGGGATGCCCGGACACAGCCCACCCACCGGCCTCCCAGCCGCAGCCACCACCCCCTCCCACCCCCACCCCCCGCCCCGCACCAGCTCCTCCGCTGCCTCTGAGGAACTGGGTCTCCAAGGAACACAGTTTGAAGACCACTGGGGTCTGCCTAGTAGTTTTGTTTCCTTTATGTTTTTATTAATTGATTTTTAGAGAGAGAGGGGGGGGGGGGAAGGGAGAAACACAGCTTGTTGTTCCACTGATTTATGCGTTCATTGTTTGCTCTTTGTATGTGCCCTAACCAGGGATCAAACTCAAAACCTTGGCGTATCAAGACAACACTAACCGACCGAGCTGCCGGGCCGGGGCAAGCCTAGTGTTAAACATTCAGATGACTCGGTTCAAATCCCAATTCTGTCCCTGCCTGTGTGGCCTTGGGTAAGTCATGCCTTCTCTGTTTCTTCATCTATAAATGGAGATAAGCCCTAGACGGTTTTCCTCGGTGCACCCTGAAGGCTCACAGGTTCAGTTCTGGCCAAGGGAGCTTGCGGGAATTGATCTCTCTCACATCGATGTTTCTCTCTGTGTCTTTCCCCCTTCCTTTCACTCTCTTAAAAAAAAAAATCAATGGTACCCAGCCGTGGTGGCTCAGTGGTTGAGCGTCGACCTATGAACCAGGAGGTCACAGTTCGATTCCCAGTCAGGGCACATGCCTGGGTTGCAGGCTTGATCCCCAATCGTGCAGGAGGCCGCCAATCAATGATTCTCTCTCATCATTGATGTTTTTATCTCTCTCCCCCTCTCCCTTCCTCTCTGAAGTCAATAAACATAATTTTTTTAAAAAAGAGCAAAGGCAATGGGTATTTATGAGAAAGGGAAGGGGGAAATTGCATCAGTAGAATAAAGACATTTCTGTTGGCGCAGATAATAGAACACGGCGATGTTAATTCTAAACAATGTTTTTAATTTCCGGGCCACTGATCATCTAGTCGTCATAACTGCCGTCTTATCATCATTGCAAATGTCCTTCTGCAAGGCACGAGGTCGCTTAGGTCCCACCCAAGGTTATTGTGCCCCGTTTTTAACATTCCAAGGTCTGAGGTGTAAGGCAGTTCCTCTGCGGTGGCAGCCCTGGCATTTTAAAGTGGCTCTATTTGTGATACTGTTTACACTGGAGAGCTTTTACAGACCTCCGCGGCCTGGCCCCAACCCCAGAGACCCCCTGGAGTGCCACCTGGGCTTCACAGTTTTTGAAGACTCCTTGGTAATTCTGTGTGGTCAAGGTTGAGAGCCACTGCCACAGACCAGTGTGTGTCCAGCTCATTTTCAATGTGTGTAGGAATCGCCTAGGGACTGAGTTAAACTGCAGGTTCTGAGTCAGTGGGTCAGATGGTGCAGGACAGTCTACATTTCTCACAGCAACCCAAGTGATGTCGGTACTGGTCCGTGGCCCACCCTGTGAGGAGCACGGCTCTGCAGTTTGCGGATTGCACCAGCTCCCACATCATCATTGTAGTTGCCTCCCAGGCACCTTGTGGTTGGACGGGGCTTGCATTCATATCTCTGTTTTGCTGATGCTCAGAGTGGGTATGTGAATGGGTAGAGGCAAGCTTTCTGGATCTTCTTCTATAACCCCCTGTGGCTGGCCTGGAAAGAGGATGGATCCATTAGAGTGAGAAGAGAGCTGAGTGGTTTTATCCAAACTCTGCCTTGTATGGCTGCTCTGAGAGGGGAGGTGACAGCGATGGAGCTGGGATCCAGGTTTTTTCCATTGCACCTGGCTGCTTGGCTCCTCTTTCCAGAGGCTCAGAGCAGCCTGGGCAGCCTGCCTCTGGGCCACATACTGAGTGGTGACAATGTCCCAAAAATCCCCAGAGGCAGGTCTATTCTGTGCCCATTTCACATCTGAGGAACCTGATGCTCTGATGCTCTGAGAAGTGAGGTCCCAGGAAGTGGCAGGACTGGGATTTGGACCCAGGAGTCTTCGCTGATTCCGGGACACAAATGCATCTTCCATGATGTCTCCCCATTGGACGAGGAGGTCCTCTAGGGCAGCGGTCACCAACCGGTGGTCGGCAGACCACTGGTGGTCCGTGAGGTCTGAAAGGTTGGCGACCGCTGCTCTACGGCAAGGACTGCTTCTTGTTTTGGTTTGTGTCACCAAACCAGGCCTGAATGTCTGGACCTGTCAATCCCCTTCAGGGTTCTGCACCTCTTCAGCTCAAACCTCACCCCCAGGACACGGCTCCTCTGTGGGAGCTTACCCTTTGCCCCTGGCCCCAGCCCCAATGAAACCATTTCTCACTGCCCAGACCCGATTTTAGCTAAAATCCATAGCATGTCATATAGAAAGTGGCCACACGGTGGCAGTAGATACCCATGTGTAGCTACTGGAGCCACCTCCTCTGAAGAATTTTTCCTTGAGTGCTCTTCCTCCAGGCATTTGTCCAAGGACTTGTTCCCTCCATGAACCAAGATAATCTCCACAACTGCCCCTCAGGAGAGGAAGGAGTTACTCATCTTCTCTAGAGCTGAGAGGTCATATGAGTCCTTTGCTTAAAGAACCTTCAGTGGCTGCTTACTGCTTTTTGGAAAAATCATAATCCTTATCTGCTACCCTGATTGTTACACAGACTGTTAGAAGGTTCCCAAGTTCAAGTGGACTAGACTTCAGAGACTAAACCTCAACGGGTGGACCCTTGAGTCAGACTGCCAGAGTTCAGATCCCAGCTCCACCACTTATTACTTACTTGAGGCCCTGTGCACGGATTCGTGCACCGGAGGGTCCCTCAGCCTGGCCTGTGCCCTCTCGCAATCCGGGACCCCTCGGGGGATGTTGGACTGCTGGTTTTGGCCTGATCCCTGCAGGCTGGCTCATCCTGGTCCCGCTGCACCTGCCGCTACCGCCACTCAGTAGCACTGCCTCGGAGGCGGGAGAGGCTCACCAGCTTTGAGCCAGACGTCTGGTGCCTGCCGGTCAGCTGAGTGGCACTCCTGCTGTGGGAGCACACTGACCACCA